AAAGTAATTATGATTTTCCCAGTGAATGAATCTTGTAATTTTACTTAGTATATTTAGATGGAGCACAGCATTCTATAAAACATGGTACTCCATGTACAAAAATAAGTGCTTTATGGACACTCTTTAATACTGTTTTTGTCTTTTTTGGTAGCTCAGCTAAGTTTACATAAATAAAGTCAATAATAACAAAAAGGAAAATAAGCAATAAATTAACAGCTAGAAACTAGAAAGGCATTTTGCTGATAGTTTGCTTTCATTAAAAGGTTGGGGATAAGAATATCTGGCTATATTGCAGTCAGAAAAGTAGAAAAGAACTCATAAAGGAACAGCAATAAAATACTAATAATTACAATAAATATTTAAGTCAGTGATGGTGATGGACTGATTTAAATAGACTTATCTGCAGTCTGTGTGCACAAATATCTCTTAAAAATTATAGTAGCAAAGGTCAAGTTTCAAAATAAAATTAACATTTGAAAAAATATGTATATTTCATTGCAAATCATTTGTTCCAAACATATAGGTATGGATAAGGCTTGTGAAATAGATTTTTCAATTTTATAAATACAAGTATACTTTAAAAAATAGAGATAGCTAATGACCACAATATTTTCAAGAAAATAATCATACGTTAATGTGTGAATATGACAAATCCATGTTTGAAAGCTCCTCTGGATCTTTAAATTTTTTAATTCTTTTTATTTTTACATAGTCTTTTATATTTCTTTCTATGGTGAAGGTTTTCATGGGCAGGGCTTTCTGGTGTGTGGTGTAAGTGACTTTATTCAAGGAAGAAAGTCACAGCAAATGCTCTATAAACTTAGTAATGCCCTTTCGATCTTGACAAGCGAAGGACATTTCCCTGAGAGCTGTCTTTCATCTTGTCTCCTGCCTGATCTGGCTTAGTAGCTGCTAGCTCTGTCTCTGAAGGCAGAACTCAGGACCCACAGCCAGTGGGCAGTGGGAAGAAAGGTTGTAACAGCAACAGGCTGGGTAGAGGAGCAGCTAGATGGGGAGTGGATTAGGGTAACCATGAGGAAGAAGATGACACATTTCTTTCCATTCACTATGCTCCTGCTCAGGCCACAGAAAAGTTGCTGGGCCCTTGTGTTGAAGCTATATCTGCTCTAGGGAGAATAAAGCCCATTCTACAAGCCATAAAGAAGGGGTCACTGTAAAATTTCTTGTCTAAATTGGGACATATTTGAGAGTAAGGGAAGCTATTGTAAATATTTATAAAATGGGACAAAGATGTGAGCCAGCACTGTCCTGGCACACCAGATGTGTTGTCACACCAGAGCGATGTTGCTAAACCCCAGGGGGGCTGATACCTTTCAGTCTCTAAGAAGTTCCTGTAGGCACCTTACTTTCTTTAAAGTGCTATTTCTTGTTATCTCCCCTCCCCTTAGGCAAAGTAATATATGTGCAGCAAGAAAGAGAAACGTTTTGGAGGAAGAGGTAGGTGCAGAGCATTCTGTATTTTATTCTAGGCACTTTTGAATTAATGAGAGCTCTAGTTTCCAAATGACTTTTTACTTCTAGGTTAGTCATAAATAGCTAAGGTATAAGGTTTTCTTCTATCTTTCCTGAAAAACTGAGAACTGGGGATGCATGAAGTTCACAGTCTCTCATAAATGAGTATATGCTGTCCCTCTTTAACCTATGCATTCTACATTCCATATAAATATTGTAAGGAGAAGCTACCCTTCAAAATATGGAACATTTCTATGAGCAGTGTCTGAGATTTTGCTGCCTATATTTTCTTCTAGGATTTTTATGGCTTGGGGTCTAAGACTTGTCTTTAATCCATTTTGAATTTATTCTCATGTGTGGTATAAGAAGTTAGTCTACTTTCATTTTCCTGCCCATATTTGTCTAATTTTCCCAACACCATTTATTGAATAAACTATCTTTAGCCCATCATATGGTGCTGGCTTCCTCTGTCAAATATTAATTGACTATGAAGGCAGCTAAGATGGTGGGGGAAGTTGGGGGTGGAAGGATTGAGCAAAAAGGGAAAAGGACTCATGGACATGGACAAGTGTGGTGATCGTAGAGTGAGAAAATGGTACTAAATGGTAATGCAAAAAATACAATAAAAAAGTGGGACACTTTGAGAGTGGTAGAATACTTCACACCTATTTTTTTATTGAATAATACATATAAAAATGTTTTACTCCATAAGTAAACAGATAGGCTATGGGTTCAGAAAAATATCATTTTCCTAATAGTTATACTCATTATAGTAGAACTTGCTCTGCTTTGTTCTGACACGTAAATACGAAGTTATAACCTGGTGGATACATAGTATTTTCTATGGATATTCTCATAAAACTCAGAGCATTTTCAAGATGTCACTAATGTAGAGTAAAATTTCAACATCAAATTTGGCAATCAGTTTAATAAAGCCCAAGAGTTAACTGTTGCATGTCAGGTAGCAAAGTTTGTAGTCTATTCTCTCTGTCTTCCAATACGTATGTTCAAATTCCTAAATTATGCTCTTAATATCTTCTTTTTTTATTGTTCAGTTACAGTTGTCCCCATTTTCCCACCTGTTGTAATTTTTTTAAAAAGTATTTACCACAAAGATCACTTATGGTATTGTATTCAGAACTTAGGTTTGTCTTGAACAAATGTATCTACAAAGTATAAAAATTACCAAGTCTCAAAAAAAATTACCAAGTCTCTGGGTTAAGTTGTAGGTATATTTTTACCTACTGGGAACTTTTATATGAGTCCAAGGAGGGGACAAATGACCATGACCGTATGTGAATATTAGGATATATTTTCACTTTTAGTTGTAAGTTACTGTTGGAAAATGGGACTGTAGTTATACAACAGTGATAAACTTTATCCATCTTTGTAGCTTTGAATATAAATACTATTCAAAATACTAACTTTCTTTATTGACACTTATTCTGCAAAAGTCACCCTGAAGAATTTCCCTGTCCCCATGGATTTAAATCATGACCCAGTTGTCCAAGACAGAACTAGAAAAATGATCATTTAAAAATAAAGGGAAAATTAACATAAATTGAAAATTATATTAAGACAATATTTGTAAAAAGCTAATGTATGTAATTGAAAGAATGTATTTAACAAAAAAACCTTTTTTAAAAAAAAAACCCTTTAAAAAAAAACCGTTTTAAGGCAAACTAAAGCTACTTTCCTGTACAGCAATCGTTAATACATAACTTCAGTTAATCTCCATCCATTATTAGAAAGCTAAGGAGCTGTGATTTGGAAGGAAGTCCTATTTTGTTAAATATTTTTGAATTCCACATGATCTTAACATGAGGTAGCTTTCCAGCAGCATTTGGGGTGCTGTTGCTGTGGGCAGGGTTGGGGGGGCAAAACTGCTCACCCGGGAGAATGGCAGTTTGCTGCAGTTAAAGGCAGTCTTCAGCTATCCTGATGGGGTGGTGGAGATGTACAGCAATTTAAGAAAAGGCAGCCTTTTCACAGGTGAGAAAATCGTTATCTCCTCTCACTGCTGTTCTATTTCCTCCTAAGTAATATTGGCTGATTTTAATCCTCAGTGAGCTGTTAAGTACCAAAAATTTAGAAACCCCATTCTAATTTACTAGCTGTTTCTAAATGGTCAAATATTTTGATATTATTGATTGGTTGGTTGACGCATTTTAACTTTTTTTGTGGTGAATTTTTTTCTAGGAAGCAATAAAGTAAGAAAAACTAAAAAATGGATAGCGATCCATTACACAAGGTACGATAGGTACCACATAGGTGCTAATTTCCAAAGTCCAAAAAATATAGCCATCATGCAAAGTAAACTTTGGTTCTGCACTTAATTTTCAAATCCCATTTGTTAGGGTTTGAAATCCATGATAGCGGGACTTGTTCTACAACAGTTACCTAGGGCAACATGATGCAAACATATGACATGCTAGACACATGCTCTGAATGTGTTCTAACAGATCTCAAAGCATTCTCTAAATTTTACTAGAATGAAGTCACATTTCAGCAAAAAGTAAAACCACATCTGCTCACTTGAATGGAATCAGTCCTTAGGATACAAATGTTGTGAATACTTGTGTTTTTCCTCAAGCAAGCAACGAGATGGTGTTCCAGCGGTGATTTTCTTGAGCCTTTGCATTATCGTGTGCTTCAGTCTTTGCTCTTAATGTCTTCAAAAGGTGATTAATATTTAGTCTGGAACAATGATTTGTAGCATAAAGAGATTCCGCCATTTACTAATTGTTTGTTTGATTAAATTGAAACTTCATTGGGATGAAACCTTCCATTCTGCATTGGTTAGACAGAGAGACTGCCTTTTCCATTTACTTCTAAAGATTTTAAAGAGCATTAAAACTTTTACTCTTGGAATTTGGAATGTTTTGGGGACTGAGTAGGAATTTATGGGCTCCCCAATGTAATCGGTCTTGCTGAGTATGAAAGCTGGTCTGTGGGGAAGTGTAAATTTGGACCTATGAATTGCTTAAGGAGGAATTTCTCACTTTCTCACTTTTAGAATTTGTTTGGCCCAAGAGTTAGTTTAAAGCCAATGTGAATTATATTCAAATTCATACTTTGATAAGATAAATATATGTAAAAATGTGATTTGGGTATCTGTTTTTACCTAGACAAATATTTTTTTTGCATCCTCCTATTTTAAAAAGCCAAATAGAAAGGAAAAAAAATTAATGGACAGAGTGAAAATACGAAGAATATAGCATTTCCCAAATTTAGCTTCACATTGGAATCACCTAAGGGTCTTTAAAAAATACTGACACCCAGAATACGGACATTCCGATGTAACTGGTGTGAGGTGTGACCTTGGGAGGGAAGGCTGTCCAGGGGTTTTGAATGTGCAGCTGGGCTCAGGAAACACTGTCCCAGGGAATCTGAGAAGGAAAACACAAAGCTGAAAACATGAGGCCTGTTGGAGCCTCAGCTGTAGCACTGAGGCCTTTCGCATCCGATTGAGTTAGTGGCACTGCGAGGTGACAGGAGTTTTGTTATGGGAATTGGTGTGAGGAATTTTGCTTGATTCTGGTTCACAGAATTACACTGAAGAGTTTTCACCTTTTGAATGCCTTTGTACTTAAGTTTTCCCTTCAGTCTTATAGAATTTTACAAGGGCCAAGGGATTTTTAAAAATGGAGGTTGTGGTCATGCTATGTCTTAAACCGCTAGTGACACTTGTTGAACAGTAGTAATAGGTATCTGGTTGTTGAAATTTGATTATTTCTGTTTTGAACAAAAAGCAAGCATGTACAAGTATGGCAAGCAAGTGTAGTGCCTTCTACTCCCCTCCATTCCAGGTTCTGCAGCACCCTTACCCCTGTCAGATGTTACTAGAGAAGAGGACCCAAAGTCTAGGGGCTTTTGGTAAATAATGTCTTTGTTGAGCATCTGAAGAATCAGCTTCTAATTAGCAGTGATGGTGGTAAGGTTTTCCTGGGAGGGCTCCAGGGCCAAAGCACGCAGGTATGCTGAAGCCGTCAGGTACTTACGGGAAGTAAAACGAAGGGAAGGTGGAGGACTTCTTGGCAGGCTTGTTATAAGCAGGTTAGACAGTCCAAAAATGAACCAAGTTAACATGACATTCTCTGAATGCTGGGTGGTAGTCTGGATATTGCAAAAAGACCAAAGATGTAAATCTTCACTTCTCTCTTTGTTTGAAATGGCGTTTCAGCCAATTTGCTGAACAGCCAGAAGTATCATAGGCGAGAGCCTGTAGATGTGATTTTCTTTTTAAAGATATTAGAGAGGAGCAACATGAGACTGAAATGAAAACAAATCTACAAGGATACATCAAATGCTTAATAGGAGAAAACATAATTTCTAATTGGAATGATTATTATTTTCTGGGGATTCTTGGGAAGGGCCAGACTTCTAGGGAAAAAGAAGTGGGCCAGTGAGGTTAATAAACAATAAGCCTGGATCGCATTAACCATGTCTGCAAGATACCACATCAATTTCCCAGAAGTCCCCTGGGATTGCAGGGGACAGGAGATCCTGACCTGTGGCAAACTGACTGGATGGAATTTTCTGACTACAGTGTTGCTGACTTCATCAAACCTCAGGCAGTCTTTCCTAAGCTCCAGGCTGTGCACTTGCCCCACAGTAATAGGAACATGTTTGAAAAGCACCCTCTCACCTTCCTCCGCAGCTGCAAGCCAGGGTTTACACTCTGGAGCTTGCTTGGCTCTCTCTGTTGTTACTGACTGCTGAGGTCTGCTCTGCCCTTAAACTCGTGCTGGCTAAGAGATCTCCCTCCACTCTGTCAGGGTTTGTAAACATATTCCCAAGACACTCAGCAACCTTGGAAGAACAACTTTTGGGGCAGTGGCTCTTTTCTGTAGAGAAAAGGCTCCTTAACAGTTGATTGAATTAGGAACAATGTTCTCTTATTATGATTCTACAGTTAGTATAAGCCATGCAGTCTCAGCAAAGGTATCACATGAGGAAAAGTATTACATGTGATCACAAGAGGACTGAGTTAGAGGTTTATTTTTTTCTATATAGAGTTTTGTGTCTTATTTTTAAAAATTTTTAAAAAGGTATCTTCAGAAGGCTCCATATCCATCTCCTCGGGCAGTCATTGCAAAAGTGGGGTAGACCTCGTATGTTGCGTATGCTGCTAAGTCTTGTCCGAGGGTCACTGCTTGCTTGAGCTGGGCTGCGGACACCGGTGCAGCTGCATTAGGGACAGCATATCCTGGAGGGGGAGGCAGAGAACACTTCATGAGAGGGATTCCACTTTGCTTCCTTTTGGCTTATTGTCTTCTCTTTGGAATAAGTACATATTCTCAACTGCACATTTTAGAAGGTGCTCTCAGGGGACTCATTCGCTAGAGGGCAGCGTTCCTCCGAGGGAGGTCAAGCACCTGTCGCAGAACCACTTCACTGTTGGAGAGTTAGAAACACTTGGGAAATGATTCCAAGAAACTGAAACTTAACGGGATGCTGAGCTGACTAAAGCGTGTGAGGTTCAGAGCTTTTCCAGAGGTTCTCAGAATTTGCAAAGGAGGCAGGGATGGGCAGTGGGGCTTTGTGGGTCTGCTTCTGCTGCATCCCCGCCCCCACCAAAACAAAGTGTGAGAAGACATGGCCTTTGCCCAAGAAGTATATGTACGGCCTGGGCAGGCCAGCAGAAGAAATATCTAAAGTTTTAGCATGTTTTTATACTAAAGCGCCATGAAAGCAAACACCTAGCCTGACCACGTTTGGACCGAACCTTGAAAGGCAAATTGTGTCTGTCTTGGAGTATTTGGATGCTAGTCCTCACCCTCAGGGAACCAAGGGATTTGACTGATAAGGAATCCTCATGTGCTCTCACCTCAGTATTACGTTTAGTTGATTAATATTCACTTTTGAAGATGAGAGCATAGCAGCTTTTACCTAGAAACAGTATTACTTGGTCGTTTTAGACAAAAACCTCAGTATTTCTGAGGTGATCCAAAAAATCATAAAAAATGACAAGAAAAAGGAAAACAAATACTTAAGCGATGAACAGGAATTTGATAAAACACACACACACACACACACACACACACACACACACACACACCCATTTGGTTTACGTGCTGTGGAAGTCCGCCCAACCCCAGACACATTGATTTCTTTCTGGGGCTTCTCAGAAGGTGGTGGCAGGAAGCTGGCTGGACTATTTTTTAAAAAATCGAATCCACTCCTTGGCTTGTACACTTGGGGCAGTTAATGCTGAGTAATGCACCAGTGAAGTTTGGTACATTTCCCAAGGATATCAGAAACGTGTTAACAATTACTTTAATGATTTTGGAAACAGTGTATCTAACGTAAGTAAATGAGTAAGTAATGTGTGTGTGTAGCATAGATTTTATCTTTCGGGGTTTTGAATTTTCTTTTGCTATTTGGCTAATTTCTTAGGTGCAAGAGCATTTGTGTTTCAAAAAGGTTCTTTCTTGAAGCTTATTATTCTCTACTTGATTCCACAGTCAAGTTCTGAGAGGTTCTCAAATTCTTAGGCATTCCCAAGACAACTGTCATGCCCTATTTTTTTCTTTACTTCTTGTAGGAGCAAATAAAAGTGAGAGTAGGATATAACATTCTTGGGGAAAAGTAAATCCTTTCCAATGTGAGAGTAAACTTTAAAATTCTCCTGACAGTGGATCATTTATTTATTTTTATAGTACATTTGTTAGGGGTCTTTGGGGTACAGCTTTTTGCAGGAAAGGTGTTCAACTTTTGGCAAGAACTGAGAAGTCCTGGCACATGTCCCCAGTGGACAGACAGGTTAACACCCTACTTTATGGAATGCAAGGAAAGGGTTGATGGCCCCAGTACTGCCCAGGGGAGACCTTGCCCTTGGCCCTGGCAGCTGTTGCCTTGGTAACCACTCAGGGGCGCTCCACACATCTTCTCTTTCTACAGAGAAAAGCTGGAATTGAGGTCACATTTACATGTGAAACATTAGTTTCATCCTCACCTGCTAGAGTGCAGGATATATTCACAAATAAAGAAAATGAGAGTGAACACTAGTTGTTATGAATGTGAGGGCTATAGAGTTCCCACACCTTAATATAACCAGGATATGACTTAATCAATCAGTAGGAATATCATATTTCTAGGTTGAGTCGGAACTCTCTGATTTGAGCTTTGGGGATATATGAACACTACACATCAGAATGACAGATTTCTTTAAGAGAAACAAACTTTTATTACTAAAGAAGGAATGTAGTTAACTCAAATTAGATGGTGAGAAAGAATTTCCAAAAGGTCCCCTCTCTAGAGGATTCATTTTTAAAAAATTACCAGCATTTGTTATAGATATAAAATAAATAGGGAAAAGTCTTTTCAATGTGACCCTGAAGGCTTGTTGATTTAGAGGTAGACTTTATTTTAAGCAATCAGCATACAAAATAATAGAACACATACAATGAGGCTTGATTGTGCACATGGTGAATCTGTCTGTCTCTCTCTCACACCTATTGATTTAAAATGATTTTTAAAAATGTGATCTACACATCTCTAAAAAATCAAAGCAGTAGAAGTAAAATTGAAGATTGGGTTTGGGGAGGGCATGAAAGGATTTCTTAAGAACTGATTGGGCATGGCTCAATGACTTCATCTTCCCAGGACTTGCTTTCTTTAGCTGTGCGATGGCTGTTATGATAGGACCTACCCCTTGTGGTATCACGAGCATTGCTTAGATAACGTAAAACATGCTGGGGGGTGAGGTGAGTATGTGGCATATAATAGGAGCTCCAATGGGCATCATCTAGTAATAGGTAGTTTCACACTCTCTTACTAAAAGTAAAAACCAAACCAAATGCAGAGAGACTGACTCATTCAAGATGACACAGGTGCTGAAGCTGAGCTGAGATCAGACCCACTTTTGCTGCCCAGCTCCATTCTCTGGCCTCATACTTTAATGGTTCACTCATCTGGTAAATTCTTTTTGGCCACAGATGGCATAGGTGGAGCTTACAAACAACTCTACGAGTCCATGGTACCACAGGTTTCCCTAACACTCTGCAGGGTGCCGTTTCTAGCCAACACTTTTTTTCTTTTCTTTTCTCTGCTTTTCTCATCTCTCTCTGTCTCTCTCTTTCCCTCCCTCCCTTCCTTTATTCCTTTCTTTTTTAGGAATCTTGGATTTTTTTTCATTTGAAGGTAACTCTTAATGCTATTAAAGTCACAAATATGCTAATATAAATACCCAATTTTATTTCTCTAAAACACACAATGCAAACATACAAATATCTGTTCTTTCCACATGACAGAGCCCATTCATTTCATGGTTTGGACATGTAGAGAATAGATTCCTCTTAAACTGCCAGTCAGCAGGTGTTTCTTTATAGCTAACTTTAGCAAAATTCATACAAAAGAGTAATTAACAATGATCTTTACTTGTTAACTCACAAGGAAACACCAAACCTGTATTTTGTTAAAGTTTCTGAACTAAAATGTAGAAAAACTGAAATAATGAAGGAAAACTTCCCTAATCTGGTGAAGGGAGTAGACTTCCAGAAGTCCAAGAAGCCCAGAGAGTCCCAGAGAATCCCAAAGAAGTTGGACCCAAAGAGGAACACACCAAGGCACATCATCATTAAGTTATCCAGGATTAAAGATAGAAGGAAAATCTTAAAAGCAGCAAGAGGAAAGGAGAGAGTTACTTATGAAGGAGTTCCCACAAGACTATCAGATGATTTCTCAAAGGAAATCTTGCAGGCAAGAAGGGGCTGGAAAGAAGTATTTGAAGTCACGAAAGGCAAGGACCTACATCCACGATGACTCTATCCAGGAAAGCTATCATTTAGAATGGAAGGGCAAATAAAGTGCTTCCCACAAAAGGTCAAATTAAAGGAGTTCATCATCACCAAGACATTATTCTATGAAATATTAAAGGGACTTATCTAAAAAAAGGAGAAAATCAAAAGTATAAACAATAAAATGACAGCAAACTCAAAACTAGCAACAAACGAACCTAAAATAAAAGAAAAACAATGAAAACAAAAACTAAGAAACCAACTAGAACAGGAACAGAATCAGAGAAATGGAGATCATGTGGAGGGATTTCAGTGGGGAGAGGGAAGAGGGGAGTAGGGGGGGAAAGTACAGGGAAGAAGAAACATAATTAGTAGGATAAAATAGACAAGGAAAGATAAAAATGGTATAGGAAACAGAGAGCTCAAAGAACTTATATGTACGACCCATGAACATGAACTAAGGTGAGGGATGCTGGAGGGTTTGGGAGTGCAGGGCAGAGGGGGGATAAAGGGGAAAAGTTTGGGAAAACTGTGATACTGTGATTAATAAAATATACTTAAAATGTAGAAAAATAGAACCTTACAAAGAATGAAAAATTAAAAATTCCTCAATTTTTTTATTCCTGGTACCACTACTACAATTTACAGGGCAGTATACTGAATGTAATGAAAAGCAAAAGCAAAAGACAAAGCTACAACAGATAAAAGACCTCAGGAATGTACACGTAATTCACATCACACTGTATTAATTCATAGCTGCACTGTTTGCAAGCTGTGGCCACATCAGCTCTGAACAAGAAGGGTTTCCTGTTTAAGCTGCAGTAACTTTTCTAACTAGGGATCACCGTTCCTTCTCTGGCAGATTTTTATGGTTCTTGTAATGCATTTGGGACGATTGTCTCCAAGTAACCTGCAGCTTTCCTGACAACTCCTCGCTCTCTCTCCTGCTAAGAACTGTAGCCCTTTTCTGCTGAGTTTTTAGAACCTTCTGCTACCATATCTTCCACTTCCACCACCAGATCCATAACCACCATCATAGGGGCTGCCCAAGCGTTTTCCACCAAAACCACCCCACTTCATGGGTCCATAATTTGATTGCTGTTGTCTACTGTGATTTGTAAAATCATGATGGTTCCCACCTCCACCATAGTTACCAACAAATTTCCCCTTTCATTGAAACCATCATATCCTCCACCACTGCCACCATTTCCAGTATCTTGGTCTCCATATCCTGGTCCTCCACCACCACCATAGCCTCCTCTACTATTGCAACCAGGACTACCGCCATAGTTGCCACCATCACCTCCTCATAACCACTTCTGCTGCCACCACACCACAGCCTCCTCTTCCACCAAAGTTTCCATCATGGCCAAAGTTACCTCCACCACCTCCGAAGTGTCCTCCATGACCCATGAAGTTGCCAAATCCACCTCCATGGCCTCTTTGCGATCCAGCAGACTGCATTTCTTGTTCAGAAAGGGCCTTTTTCACTTTGCAAGTATGCCCCTTGATAGTATGGTATTTCTGAACAACAATTTTATCAACTGAATCATGATCATCAAAAGTTACCAAAGCAAATCCTCTTTTATTCCCATTATGCCTGCCTTCCATGACTTCTATGGTTTTAATCATGCCATACTTTTCAATGGAGTCTCTCAAGTTATATTTGTATGTATCTTCTTAATACCATCAAGAAAAATTTTCTTTGCTGTTAGATGGGCACCAGGCTTTACAGAATCCCCTCCAGAAACGGCTCTCTTTTGTTTTTCTACCTGCCCATCAACCTTGTGTGGTCTTGCACAAATTGCTGCATCCACCTCTTTAACACCTGAGAAAGTCACACGACCAAAGCCCCAGGGACCTTTTGTTTGGGGGGGGGTCTCTCATCACCACACAATCTGTGAGTGTGTCCCATTTCTCAAAATGTTGTCTTTATCATCTGTAGTTTCAAAGCTCAAATCACCAATGAGCAGTTATTTCAATTGCTCTGGGTTCCTTTGGATCATGGCTCTCCTTCCCCCGATTGTAGCGACAGCCAGAGTTGGGCGAGGGGTGAAGAGGAGGCAATGGTTTTACCTCCATTTTTGACACCTACTTGCCTTTTCCAACCTGGCCCAGCGTTTTCATACCTGGAAAAGCAGTAGCAGAAGCAGCAGTAGCCACTGCAGCTGGAGCGGCGGCTCCATCAGTGGAAATGCCCAGGGTCTGCAGGGTGTACTCGGCTGCATATGTCTTAGCTTCATCCACATAGGCACTTAGCTTTGGAGGTGTGAAGGGGTGGCTGGAAAGAAGTCAGGGTAGGCATTTTAAACTTGTGCTGCTGAGACAGGTGAAAATCTAAGGTGCTGTTAGCTTTTGAAGATGATAGGATAATATAATTCTGTGTGTCTATTTTTATTCTCTTTACTACTAAAGCTTCTAAATATATATGCACGTAGAAATATCTGTGAATTGACCTAGAACATTGGTGGCTGATGCCATTTCCTGAAGCATACTTACAACTCTTATGTGGACTTTCTAAGGTACATGTGAAACACTGTGGTTCCTAAACTGATGTAGAAATGCAGACTCAAGGTAAAACTCAGGAGTTAATATCCTATAACAGAGAGGCTGTGTCCTTGGTCCAAAATGTAAATGACAGGGCATGGTGTTATTTCATATAAAATGGATATTTCATATGGTTCAACCTAAATACTACACAGATAGAAGCATGGGTTATAATTTTCATTTCTATTAAATGTTACACCTGCAGTTTTCCATTGGTTGGTCATACCACTGGGTCATTGTCTGTACAAAATCTGGGCCCTCTGAGGTTCAGTCTCACAGCTGGCACAAGCATCCCAACTCTGCATCTCAATGTTTACATTTAATGAAAAATCAGTGGGTAATAGACTTGAATATTTATCTTATTTAGATGGTGATAAAATGCACTTAATTTATAAGAGTCTCTTAGTCTAAAATCTACATGATTAGGAATTTGGAGAAGTTACCCACATGGCAGGATTCTGGCTGGCCAGAGCAGGAATGGTTATTTTGTATAAGAAGAGTTGTCTTTGATCTTGTCCAATGGCAGAGTGTAGCTGATATACTGGCTGTCCCCAGTTATTTTTCTGACAGATTTCTTCTAATATCTACAAGAGTAAAAAAGAAAAGTTTTCCCTTTCAAATGTCACATTTGCATTATTTGTCCAGCTTTCAGTTTTTTTTAACTCTGCCCTTCAGAGTTTCAGCTAATATGAGATGATATAAAATGCCACATGATATAATGACCCTTAACATTTAAGATGAGCTCAATTTGAACTCCGTTTAAAATGTTTGGTTTATTAATTTATAAAACCCATCTTCGCATCATTTATTCTAATGTGTTTTAGTTTAGCCCATTAGCTATAACTTTTACCAATAGTTTAATTTTATGATTTAAGAAAATTGATATTCCAGCACTGTGTGGCTGGCTTTACTCATAATTGTCCTCAATCCTTCTGTTTATAATGGTCTAGAGAAAATAACCTAAGAATACAGTATGTTCTTATCTCATGTTATCTATCATAGGGTTTATCTTCGCATTTTCATAAAAATAGAGTTTTAAAGTTTAATGAATTAGTCTTTGTTGATGAGCATTAATAGATAAGTATTGACAGTTGCGATGTGTTTGGCAAAACACTTCTGGTTGTTTTTACAATAATCTTATTTATAGCATCTTTCCGCGTGTTTTTTTCCTATCATTATTCCAAACTGAATCATGTCTAAAGGCACGTATTTTCTGCATCCTGCAGCCATTTTTGGTGGCCCACAAGCCCCAAGGCTCCCATTAGTCAGCAGATTCAGTAAAGTGTGCAAAACAGGGCATTCATCTGACAAAGAAAAAACTCTTTGGGACGAACAATGTTCCAGGATGACTCTGTGAGCTTATCTCCTTTGTTCCAACACCAGTACAGCTTCAATAGCATAACATCTCCCCGTTTATTCAATTTCTAGATTGCTCCTGTCTTCTTTATTACATTTTTCTTCTACTATTCTCAGTGTTGTGGCAACTCTTGTCATCTACAAAGCATAAGTACCTGGGCAATCATAAATTGCTTTAGCTGGCAGATGTTCTGTTTATGCCCTTTGGGTAAATACACGCCAAGGGAGCAGCAGCAGCTCCAACTGCTGGCCCTGCAGGGCAGTGCTCCATCCTCTGCTTTTGTTGTGGGAAGTTTGCAACTCCGCTATGGAATTGTTAGGGCTCCGTCTGTGTTGGCTGGCGGGGGTGGGGGTGGGGGGCGGGCGGAGACATGACCTTCAGTTTCTAAGCCATAGTTGAAGAAATTCGGGGACAAGTTAATTTAAGAATTTTCATTAGTTAATAGGGATGGATACTCATATTTTGATAAAAAGCTTGACTAATTTTTAAATTGGGTTTGATATAAAAAGCAGAGGTCATTACTTATCTATAGCAGCTCTTAGATCTATTACACAGAATTTATCATGATTGTCATTATTTATTATCTTAGAAGATTTCTAGTTTTTTGCAGTATTTTAATTATTTTTGGTTTTAAGCCCAGGGAGATTGGATGACTAGCTTTGTGCTTTCAAAGCAAAGCTCTGAGTCCAAACTCATGGCACTTCCTAGTTTTTATTATAATTATCTGTGTACTTGTCAGTATCCTCTCACTGAATGGCCATGTAATTTCCCCCCGAGTTTTATTGAGATATAATTGACATACATCACTGAGTTCCCGTTGTACAGCATAATGGTTTGACTTACATGTATTATAAAATGATTGCTCTGAGTTTAGTTAGCATCCATCATCTCATTTAGAATCAATAACAAGATAAAGAAGAAAAAATATTTTCCTTGTGATAAGAGCTCTTAGAATTTACTCTCAACAATTTGCATATATACTATATGGTGATATTAATTATAGTCATCATGTTGTATGTTGGATCCCTAGTACTTATTTACCTCATAATGAAAACCTTGTATCTTTTGACCACCTTCCCCTAACTCCCCCAATCCCACCATCCACCCACCTCTGGTGACTGCAAACTTGATCCCTTTTTTTGAGTGTGGATATTTTATTTTTTAAGATTCCACATATGAGATCATACAGTATTTTCTTTCTCTGTCTGACTGACTTAGCATATTCAAGGTCCATCCATGTTGCAAATGGCAGGTTTTCTTCATTTTTAAAAATCTATTAACCATTTAAAATTGCTATTGAGAAATGTCTATTCTGGTCTTTTGCCTGTTTTTAATTGGATTACTTTTTCTGTGCCATACAATTTTTAGTGGCAATGTTATATTCAATTTTCTATCCCCAGAAACCAGCAAAATACTTGGTATATAAAGGTGCCTAATAAATGGTTTTTGAAAAAACAAATGATTGCTGTTTACCTTTCTGATAGGCACTGTTTTTTTTTAATTGGGTAGACGTAACAGAAACCTTAGGTATACTAATTTGTATTTATAAGAAAGCCAGTTATTTCACACACACACACAAAATATTCAAGATGAGCTCTTAGAAAACCAGGTTTTCTACTTGATTGCAATCATAGGCTACTTCCATACATTTGAGGCTCGTGCCTTTGGGGTGAGAGTAGGAAATTTCCTTTAGAACACACAGACTATAACGCTTAACAACTGGCTATTGATTACTCAGCAAAAGTGCCTCTGCAGAGAGATCAGCAGTACTGCACAGGGAAGAATCTAAGGGTTATCATAGAACCAGTTTTGTGTTATTTTTAACCATGTTTGTTACTCAGTTTCCATACTAAAACAACTTTTATCACTTTTAACTTTCCCATAATAAAAACTACAGCCCATGCAGAAACCTGGAAACTTAGAACTACAAAAGGAAAGCAATAAAAACTCACTATAATGCTGCTACACAAATATAATCACAGTAGAAAACTTAATTTGACATGACTGATGGCATCTTATAGTTAATATGAGTCATAATATCATCATAGATAGCATGGTGTTTGCTTTTAAACACGATGTTTCCAAGAAGAGTTGTTCTAAATGGTCTGTTCATTCACTGCATGAACACCCTTCATTTGCTAACTAACCTGCCTCACACACAACGGGCATTTATTTGGAACTATGGTCTTTGCTTCATATTGTCTTATTTAAGGTATTGGTTGATAATTCTCAAAAGCTCTTAGGATCTTTGCATTTCAGTGCAAGATCATTTAAGGTACCACACTTTATGGTTCTAAAAAAAGACATTCTAAGATGGAACAATGGCCTTCAGCACTCAGTGTTCTCTGACAGCACATTATGTTGAGTGGGCACTTTGTCTATGTAAAAGAAAAGCCAGACAAAATAAAACAACAACATAACCCAAGTAGGGATCAAGTCACATCATTTGATGAAGGGTGAATAGTGGACTTTGGCTCAACTTAAAGAAACTATCTGTGGAATAACAGCACCTACCTGGGGAGCAAGTTTAATTCCTTGGGGTTTTAAGGTAACAGGATTCATGGGGGTGAGTTCCATCCCAGGTAAAAGATCATAGAGTTTGTCTTCTTTCTTGTCTCCTTTGACCTGATATCCACGACCCAGGCCTGTATATGCCAAGTAGCCACGGCCGCCCAGTCCTCTCACTCCCGCAGCCCCTACAGGTACATTCATGTAAATGTCTAGGAATGTAAGAAGGCATTAAACTGAATCAAACCACCAGAAAATCACCCTGAATCTTACTGTAATGGAAAAGTTAGCCCAAGTCACATTGATTATTGCCCTGAAGATGGGTAGAAAACTGTAGGATTCTAATGCAATGAAACTCAGCATAGAGTTCACAAGAGGTGTCTTTGCTTGTTTGTTTTTTTTAACTGTCTGGAAGAAAGGAATACTATCAAAGTTATTGATAAGTACATGAGCATCTTAAAAGCTTGGGTACAGAGAAAATTTTTCTGAAGACAGAAAAAGTTTCTGTCTTCAGTTAACTTTTTGTTGACATTTTTCTGTAGAATAATAAATGTTGGGAAGGTGATTTTTAGAAGCATCACAACATTCAATGACCAAATGCATTAAAATCAGTCTTGCATTCTGTCATTGATCAGTAAATCAGAAATGAATTCTAGCTTTTCCAATAATTTCATTCCCAAAGATCTGTTGGAAAACCAACATTTAGAAAGCATTTTAAATTCACCATTTCTACCTTATGTTCTGTCAATGTGAGGCTTAAATTTCCACTGAGTTTCATTAATAGATTCCTTTTGATTTTTATTTTTCACATTGCTACTTTGATTTCTTATTGGTGGCATAAAGATAAAAATGTTAAACAATTACCCTTCATCCATGAATATCATTCATTAATTTTTTTCTTATTATCAGACAGGTATTTTCCCCCTTGAGTAGAGTTTGTTTTGATCTTACATTACAACTGGTTGACAACTTATATTTCATATATGAATTGTTTAATGATGTGATTTTTAGATTATAAATGCATAATGTTTTAGTGACATAATTCATCATCATATAGACTGATTATTCTGAAGGAAATCCTAAGGACTTCTTTCACATCGCAATTTGGGGGGAAGTGCATCTACTAGGAGAGTGGGACTTTTAAGGCTGTTGAAGACTAGAGCTCCTTGGATGGTCAATTCAGTTCTCCTGAAAAATAGTAAAACACAGTAAAATAAATGTTTCCACAGTAATCTGGACATGCCTGTTTGCCTCTAAGTCAAACCCAAGAATGGACTTAAGTGCATAGTTTGTTGTTGAGTTGCCTAGTCAGGTGTCATATTTAGAAGGTAGAACTGGGATTCTGTTGGTATGAGCCACATTCTAGCACAACTACTCTGAAGGATCCCACTAGGCAGAGACAAACGAGTTTTCTGGAAATAATAAAGACTGGTTTCCCTTATCTTCAATATTGCTTGAACTGCCTGAGTTCAGAAAACTGCTTGAACATTTGCCATTTTTGCATGATTCAAAAGGAAAGATTTATGATTTAGTAGACTGAGTTTTTTCTCTTCTATTTGTGCTTTACTATGTAGTTACCCATGTTTAAAGAAATGTTGATTTCCTGAATAGTGTAGCTTTTTAGAAGGCATAACACATGTTTCTTGGAGAGGTGGGTGAGAGCATCTTACATATGTTAGAATATATTTAAGATAATTTATGCTTTATGTACAAAGATGATTCCATCAAGTCACTATCAGATAAGTCACTATCAGCCTTACCATGTTTTTGCTGTTTGAGGTGACTGGTTTCCATTGGACCACACTACTTTCACTTGGAAGTTTTGTAACAAGTCACAAATGAATGCAATGTGGTGATTCAATCATAAGAGAGAAGTGAACAACTGTGGACCTGAGATTTAGTTTGTTCAAATTTTATGGGTCCATGTGAAGATCAAATGTGTGCATAGACTCATTTGTACTATGCTGTGACCAAGTTTTTGTCAATAACCAGTTGTAATGTGAAAAAAAGATTCCTATGGAAGGAAAAGTATTGATATAATATTTGATTTTTAATAAACAATTTTCAAGTCCTTTTCTCCCAGTGGACCGACCTATTCAATTCGTCTAAGTCTATTGCAATACAAATCATCTGAAATCATGGAGTTATCCTAAGGCAAGAACTGATTAGTATTACCTCTTACAGAAGGGGCTCGGATAATGGCCCTATTGCCAAGATGCCCTTTAGTGGCTGGCAAATGAAGGCTAGGAATTGTATAGGCCTGGGGTGCATAGAAGACAGGAGCTCCGAGGTAGGCTGTGGTAGGATCATAAACATGGCTCAAAGAGTAGGTGTACTCTCCTTGCAGCGTGGTACCCCTTCCACCCGTGCCTCGGGTATATCTAACATAACTGTCCTTGTCCACTGGTTTGGCAAGGGTCACTTCAATGGGGGAACCATCCAGCACCTGTAGTAGGGAGCAAGAAAAAAACAACATGAGAAGGTATGAAGACAGTGTGGTTGAGCCCTTGTAAATGCATCTCCTACTGTATTAGCCCATTTGTGTGTGTTTACTGACTGTTTCAATTGTATATATCTTGTCTCTTACTAGCTTGGTCTTTGTACGTAAGTTGAATTTTTTTCTAAATAGTTCCACTGATAAGTTGTATATCAGCTGCCAACAGGGTTTCACAGGAACAAAGTGACCACTGTCCATTAACATACTGGTGAATACAGTCTGAATACAGTCGCCATGACAGAGAATTATGTAATACTTTTAATGTGATACATGTTTTAAATTACATATTTACATAACTGTATAATTCTAAGACATTTTAGGTTATATGGGTGGAACAATATCTCTACTACCTACAACAGTACAATGAAGATGAAAGGAAACCAATAAAGAGATCTTACAATTATTAACATTTTGGTATGGGCTGCCCAGTTAGGCCTTTCTGGCTGCCACACAGCTAAATGTCTTGCTCCTTCAAGTAGTTACACAATAAGTAAGTTTTCACTGGGAAGGAGGAGAGTCTGAAAGTGGAGCCCGACTCAAGGAAGAGGAGTCTATGAGGCTCTTACATTGCTTCCCATTCAATCTTCCTTGTAAAGCAAACTTTTGGGACAGTTGGGAACTAACAAATGGAGATGGTGGGACATGTTGAGGTTTCTCAAGTCAGGCACTCCTTAAAATGTGTTCTTGAGAGTTACTGAAGTGGTTCTACTCTGACACAAATTTCTGGTGTTGCAAACAGCTCCAGACAATAGCTGAAGGTAATAGTTTAAAAGAATAGCTGTGTGTAGCTGTACATGTTGTCTGACTCACTTCTATGTGCCACTGGCATACACAAGAGAAAAAGATGGCTGTCAACAAATACTTGATAGGTTGATGTACTTCTTATCAAAGGGACAAGGTATTGTGAGAAAGCTTTTGTGGCTTCTTTCTAGTAAGAATAAGATGGGCTATTATTTTATATATAGAAAATAAATAATGCAAAGGGTTTCTGCAAAAATTCCCTTTTATAGTAGCTGAGTCTATAAGGCTGATAATAAAGTAGCTGAAACAACCTTATTACTTGATGTCATGAGCAAATAATTCATTGGTTCCTGGATCACTGAGGTCTGCTGGATGAAGCTTGTGCTTCATAGGGATTCTGAGCATTTTGTTCTGCCTCTGAGGCAACTTAGCCTTGATTCTATATATCTTCCCTACTTTTTAGTCCCAGGAGTCGATGTCAAATATGTCAGATGAAACACACTGAGAGAGAGAATCCAGCTGATATGTTGTATTACCACTGATGTAATTAGAAGAAATGGAGTACTGAAGGAATCAAGCGAATGGGATATATTATTCTTTATATCAGTCCTTTCTTGAAGAAGATGAGAAACCAAAATAGGTCTCTGCTTATAGGCACTCATATCAAGAGATGTTTGTAACAAAATGATTGCATTCTGCAGAGGCAGGTTTCTTATTGTAATAGATTTTGTTTTACTTTCCTCTGCCACCCCAACAGTGTTTTAAACTTAGCTTTGTATTTTAGTTAGTTGGTTTAGACCTTTCAATAACGAAGACAATATCTCATTGATCTGTATAGTTCAAGCCGAGAAAAATTTCTTGTACATTATAGACATCCATAATATTTATGGAATATCTGGAGAATTACCTCCAAAGCTTAATTCATCACTTTTCTCTTCAAATAGGCTTTCCTTCCTGGCTTCCCTAACAGTATTACTCTAGTTTCCCATATTAAAAACCTGTAATGACTCATCCTTGTTCCTCACTCCTATAGACAATCAGTTCCTGGGTCCTTTGAGTTTACCTCCCACCGCACCCCACAGTCCCAGGTAGAGCTTTCTTCTACATTCCATTCCCACCCTGGTTCAAGCGCTATTTTTTTCCATTTGGGTGACTGTAGTAACTTTTTAACTAGTTCCAATTACATTTCTCTTCCTACTCTGTAAAATTTCAACTTCTAGTGAGTTCATTTCCTTAAATTATAAACATGATCCTTATTCTACTGCACAAAAACTTCAATCTCATGTTGTTTAACAAGTTAAATGTAAATATCCATATGCGTCCTTAAAGGACTTCATAGTTCCTAAGCAAACTTACTTTTGATTTTCCCATACCACATTGTAGTGAAATACAATTATAATATTTAGTTTATACTTAATAACAATATTGAATATATATTTTAGCTACATAATATGTGTAGCCATTGTTATAAAAAAACTAGCTATAAACATATATATAGCTTTAAATATTGGGAAAAATTTGAATAGTTTTTCATTGTAATTCCAATGTTTTTGGTTCTTTATAAGTTAATCATAAATTAGTAGTTAATTTAATAATCATATAATTATGAATTAGCATTTAATTCAGATTATCCCTTTTCAGCAATTATTATGTATACTTCGGAATGTTTTCGAATTGAAAAAGTCTAATCTGCATATTGTTTTCAAGGTAATAACATTCTCAGGATATTATTAAGTGTGATAATGATGATAAAACAATGTTTTGCTTTATAGATATATATTAAATATGCATTAATATTTTGCTTTGCAGTTTTATTTTTGTATTTTGAAGTTTGTACTCTTCCCCTCAGGACTCAAACCTTTCTGCAGGTGTTGGAGAAGCTCTTACTCCTGGGCCTCACTGTAGCTGAAGGGCCTGTTGTGGGAGAGCCTTGGTTTACTCTCCAGATCTGCTCCCTCTGCCCCCACCTCCTTCTGCCCACCCCCAGGCCCCTGGTCTCCAGCCTCTCTGCCTTGGGCTGGGTGCTCTGCATGGAGTCCTCTTCAGGGCTCCTGCACCTTCTGGGTGATGGTTGGGTTTGGCCCATGGAGAGTCCTGGCAGGAGAGTGAAGGGCGCGTTTAGACTATGTCTTCCTCCGGCTCCCTCTGAGAGGTGACCTTAGCCTGGATGTACTTCTTGACCAAAGTTCTCTCACAGAGACCTGTTCTGTACAATCCTCTCTCCTTCAGGTTTCCTGTTACTTCCTTAGCCCCTTGTCACTTTAACTCCAGGAATGCCACCAGCCCTAGGTTCGACACACGGACCATGTGTCCCTTGTTACTTTCCATCATTTTTCTCTCATTCATCTTAAATGGACTAAGGCCATCATGGCAGTGATGACGAAAGCCTGAATGAGGTAGACTTGCAGGATTGTCCTTTTAACAAAATTTCCACACCCAACTCAGGTGGAATCTGTACATATATTTGCTTTGTCCTACGTTACCTTCCCATTTAAAGCTTTCATAGCCTCAATCGCGTCTTCTCGGTTACTGAAGTGCACAAAAGCATAGTCCCGGATTTTCTTCACCCTCTCCACAGCACCTGTAAATAGAGCGAAAGCATTATTATTAAAATGTTGCTCAAGTGTATTGTTGATTACTCAGTTAAAAAAATAAACTTTTGCCTAGAGTGAAGTTAAGATGGAAACTTATTTAACATGAACTTGTTAGCAGCTTAGCATGACATTATCCAATGTAGGTTTACCCACTTGAGGGCAACTTGAGAGACCAGGTTTTCTTTTCCTATGTTTAGTTTCTAGAGCCAACAAAGCATGGGACCCTATGGCAGGGAGAATCAGGAGAAGAGACAGGTTCTCCTTTCCTCCGTCCCCATCAAAGTTCAGTTACCCTCTTAGGTCCAAGGCCACAAAGCAATTAGAGTTTCCTACTCTTCCACATGCTTCAATAGTTGTAAACTGTCTTCCTTTGGAATGACGATACTGCTGTAAGGTAAGGATAATTTTAAAACGTTGCAGTCCTTCACTTCTCTCTCCTCTTGGCATTCAACCCTTGACTTCTTACGACAATGTTTGTACAGAGCATAATGGTCTCACCAAGCTGAGAAAATAAACAATGTCCGAGACCATGAAGCATGAGACATGTACTTAACTGAATTCCAACATAGTCTCTATTCCTTCAGTGTTGGGTGCGCTAATACTCCTGACTCTACCCCATGGCTTGTTTTGGTAATTGAGAAGTAAGAGGTTGGCCATGAGGACCTTTATCCTTCTTGTCTTTGCTGCATTTATTCTTCAGTGCCATCCTCTGTCTCCTGGACTGTTAGCATCCTGAGAACAGGATCTGTTCTGGAGGCGCCGTGGTCTAGTCTCCACCCAGTTCCTACCTGGAGTGGTGTGCACAGGGCTGCTCAGTAAATGTATGTGGAATGACTGAGTATTATCAGTTAATTCACACTCTAGCCTCTATCATCCACATTAGTCGGGTACCTTTTCAGGTGGTAATGATCAAGATGTTCTAAAATTCATCTTGTAGATGTTAAAGTTGGCTTGCATTTTTGAGCAGCAATGTCCACCTACACCTGATTTTAGACATTTTGATATATGAAATTTAGCCTCATAAAACAGGCAAATGAGAAAGTGAAAGTTTGTTTCATAAAAGCTGTTTTCTCTACAATAATGTTCACCACAGGGCTTATTTTAATGTATTCTTTCTTTAGTGTATAGAAATTTGTTTACTGATTGATCAACATTTGGCAGAAAGTGAGGCAATAAAACATCAGTGTTAATCCATCAGCCATGATGAAAAAGACTCTCTGATCTCTGAAATCACAACTTGAAAACTATTACTTTGTTCATTATCAGTTTGCCAGCAGACATCAGTCGCCTGAAGAGAAACACACCTGCAGTCCAAAGGGAAGATTATCAGAGGACCATGGTTCTCAAAGTGAGGTCCTCAGACCAGCAAAAAGAGCTTCAGCCTAGAACTTCATAGAAATGCAGATCCTTGGGCTTGTCCAGCCCCCCAGCTACTGAATCAACAACTCTGGGGGCAGGGCTAACAGTCTTTTAACAAGCCCTCCAGGTGATTCTGATGCTGAACTTTTTAAGGAAAATCAGATTCTGTAGAATAACTATAATTAGAATTTCAGCAGATATCCTTAGGCTACAAAGAGGAAGAACATACTTTTTTTGGCTCCAGTTTCTGCTCTGATTGTCATTTATTTTTCTGAGTGGCATTGTACTATTTTCAGGCGAATCAGAGTTAAAATAATATATGGTCAAATATTTGCCAGGAATGCTCTGATTTCTCTGAGGGATCTAAACCATCTTTTCCACTAGAAAACAAACTTGTTCTTTTTCTTTCCAATCCAGCAGGTGTCTGCTATTCATCCACTCTCTGTAATTCATTTATTATTTTCATATAATTAATGGGGCCTGGGCATGTGTTTCTCTTCAACATGCAGATGGAAAGGCTGAGAACCAGTAACTATGAAAGGAAGCAGCCTTTTAGTAGTTTCTTACTCTAGCCCTTTCCAAAAAAAGGCAATGTTTTAAGCATATAAAAATAAGAGGTAGTATTCACTCTGGGAAAGTAGAAAAGTCAACACAAAGCGGGGGGAGGTGGTGAGGAAGCATTGCTGATACACACGTCCATTCCTGTCCCTACGACTGCATCAACCTTCAGATGTCTCCTAAATGGGAGTCTTTTCTGTACTCCACGGGTAGAATGTCATCCCTCTTATTTTTCTGGAGCATCTTAAACTCCTTTCACATGCTTTTCATGCTTGCTAGCTCCTCCCACAGTGCCTGGGATATAGGAGCTACTAAAGTAATGACAGTTAAATGAATGAGTGAATGGAGTAAGGTTGGGGCGTGTGGGTCATAGAGCTGTTAAGAACAAGCCCTTAACCAGACCTAGACTCATGTTTGATATTTGCCCCTTGTTAGCTATATGATCCTGAGCTAGTTAATTAATTGCTTTGGGTCCTAGCTTTCTAATCTAGAAAATAATTTAAGTAATAAAGTAACCTACATCATAGGGTTGTGGCGATGAATAAATGCATGTGCTGTGAAAGCGCCCCCTGCAATGCCTGGCGCACAGTGAGGCAGTCAGTCATCTGCAGTCTCTGCATTATTATGGATTTCTAGCTAGTGGCATGGAACCACCCCTTCTACTAACACAGCAGGAGGGCAGAGTTCCCAAAGGCTGGAAACAGACAAATCTCTGGTGAGTTTTTAAAAGGGAGAAATGACCTTCTTACTACTTATGATTAGAACAAATTAGCTTATCCTGTTAGACCTGACACAGCTTGCAGAGATGGAATCAGGCGACATGAGTGTGCGAAGTGAATATTCTTAGGCAGTTTGAACATGGTGGCACCACGGCCCATGTTTATCAACCGCCTGGAGAGTTACTGCCCAGAGACAGAACAATTCTCACTTATGGAAAGGTGTTGCCACAGTGGTACACTTAGGCTAGAGTGTGTTCCAAGACACTAATCCCATGAGATGGTCTGCCAAAAAGTGGGATTCACGGTCCAAATATTTGGGAAATCCAGCATCCTTCATTTCTTCTTTCGGAGACTGTCCAAGTCTATTAGAATGTGAAAGACTGTGATAAGTCCCACTACAGAAAAAAATCTATTTAATTTTGTTGAATCTGATGTTTACAAACTTATTTGACTGTGGGCTCCTTTAAGCAGTAACGAACTGCTAACAGTTTATAGAAATAATGTTCTACAGAACTGGCTTTGGGAAAGGCTTATTGGACATTGTATCTTGAAATGCTTGACCTGTCTTTATGTTGTAGTTCCTGTATGAGAAAAAAGATGGGGAGTCTATCTTAGGACTTCAGAGTGATATTGAAAAGTGTGGACATGATGAGCAGTGACTAATTATCCCCCTCCACCTTCCCTCTATTTCTTTCCCTTCCTCTTCATCCAAATGAGTTTCCTACAATTAATTGTCACCTACTTACTTATATACCTGAAGTCATAATCACATTCCAAGAGAACAGTGGTTCCCAAGTGCAACACTTTTGCCCTCTATGATAAAGTTGGCAATGTCTGGAGACAGTTTTGCTTATTACATCTTGGGGGGTTGCTGAGTGGCATCTAGTGGGCAAAGGCCTGGATACTGTTAAACATCCTATAATGCATAGGACAGACCTCCACAACCAAAAGTTATCTGGCCCCAAATATCAAGAATACTGAAGTTGAGAAACCCTACATTAGTCTGTAGATATGCTCACATATTCCTTAATACAATAAATAGTTATTGGGCATCTACTATATGCCAGACACAAACACAGGGGCCAAAGACACAATAAGAGAAAAAAATCATGAAATTTATAGTTTAGTGAAGGAAATATGTATTTATTATGTAATCACACAGATAAAGGTAAAATTATAATATTGATAAATATAGGATCACATATCCCTATTTTCTAGTAGAAAGGTGGGAATATAGTTTTTACAGTTTGCATGCAATTATGAGAATGGTAAATGAAAGATATCCTATTTAAAGTTATGAAAGTCATCATAAGTGTTTTTCAAGTACCTTTTGAAAAAATAGTCTTCTGTGATATGTCTTACCTGGTTTAATATTGCTGAATTCTTTTTCAATCATTTCTTCAGAGGTAGACAGCATTAGGTTTCTTACATACAGGATTTTCACCGAAGACATTGTGTCTTCATCAACTTCCACTTCTGGCTCTGCCCAGTCTACTGCAATAGGGTGGCCCCATAGTTGAATTCTTCCTGTTGAAAAGAATCAGGGGTATGGTGAATTAAATAGAAATTAGGACATCATTACCTCAGTTCCGACTGAGGGCCTTTTAAATTAAACTGATCTTTGAAGTCTTAACTGAACAAGAAAAACAATATTAAAAGAGGTGATTAGTGACTTTAAGAGACATTCCAAGTAAACGTAGGAGCTGGCTAGAGGGAACTTCTATATGGTAAGTGGCTGATTATTACGACCATGTATAAAGGGAACTAGGATGTGTTTCGAAGCCTGACAGAAATGAGGCAGCCAAGGGCATGATCTGGTCTTAAAGCAGCTCCTACAGGATGAAGGTAGTTGTTGGAGATGAGAGGGCAAAGGGGAGCAAGGAAAATAATGGATGTAGGGCCCACACATCAAGCCTGACTTCACAAAGCATTAGAAGGGTCACTAGGAAGTATTGCTGCTGTTGGAACCTGTGTGGCCAGGTGCCACCGCTGTCCAAAATGGTGCCTGGGCACGGGGGTCGGGCTCAGGCTCGCCCAGCTTGTTCTCTGTTTCACTTGGCCAGGGCTCCAATCCACTCTCTTACCTCCTAGTTCTCTCTCTTTCAGAACATGCACAATGTGGGAATGCAGAGAAAAACAACTTTCTAATCCAAATTAAGAAGCCAGGGAGCAATGGAAGAGTCTAGGATGAGAAACTGCACTCTTCTTAAAAGATTAGCTGTTATCCACGACCACATATGTTTTTGTATTTCTAAAGCCTGCAGTTTCCTAAGTGTCTTGCACTGCCCTATGTGTTTCCCGTGCACTATCTCAGGGCCACTCCGTGGGGAGGGGAATGCCCTTCTCAATTTTATGGAAGAGGAAATGAGCTTTCAAGAAGGTAGCTTGCCCAGACCGATTTCACTCCCCCTGCTTCTGTTATTTATTACCCAGCCCCTTTTACCCCTCTTCAACAGCACGGATCCATGATGAAACAATGAGAGGACGGTGAGGGTCAGCTCAGTTTCAAATCTGATCAGAAATCTCATTTGTTTTATATTGTTATGGAACAAGCTATGTCCTGGAAACAATAAAAAGCCTCAGGGAACAAAATCGGAAGTTCTCAGTATTGGTAAAGGTTTTGTTGTTTAATTAGTACATACGGGAGGCAGTTATTTTCAATCAAAATGTATCTTTTTATTCTTTGAAAAGTAGTCAGTGGAAGCAGTGGTGGCACTGACACCCTAAAACCCCCAAGATAGGCTCATTGTAATAAATTAGCTGATCCTGGAGATCCTGGCTCCTGCTACCCAAGCTGGCTAGGTACCTTGTTCTGCATTGCTTCTCACAGAATCCTTTTTTTTTTTTTAAATAAAGATTATTTCCTATCTTCACTTCCCTTCTACTCCTTCCCTTCCTTTACCTTCCCTTCCTTGTGCTTCCCCTCCCTTCCTGGTCCATGCTTTATATAGACTTTGCTGTTTGCATTGCCCCAGGATTCCTAGAGCTCTCAGGTGACTCTGATTTCTGTAGCCCGGTGGTCCTCAGCCTTGGAAGAGCTTTAAAAAATACTGAAACCTGAGTTCCACTCAGTGCTGGATCCAGTTCCTCCCTACTTGCAAGAATAGATTGTTACATTTTCAGAATTGTGTGAGCCAGTTGTTACCACTTTGGTAGCTTCTAATCAGCCATAGTGGGAGTGTTAATACCATGGAAATCCACAAGTCAGGTCTTTTGGTTTTCTCCTGGGAACTGGCTGTTAAAGATTTACCCACTCATCACTGACCCTTGGACTCTCCTGACCAATTCTGATATAAGTGGTCTGGGCCTCAGGACTCTTATGAGCACCTCAATTCATTCTGACATGCAGACAAGGTTGAGAACCGCTGTTGTGCATGCTGGCTTTTGCCTTCCCAGACTGGGACCATGGTTAAGTTACCCACCAACCTAAATATTTGCAAAAGGCTAAAAGGGACAGAAGGGAGAGGATGTCTGGGAAGCAGTGATTTCCATAAACATGCCTCTGGAAGTCAGTGCTGCAGGGTGCTTTGGGAACATAGGCTTTGAAATCTGACAAGTTCAAATAGCAGATCTGTGGTCCTGGCTAGGAAGCTTAACCTCTCTAAGCACCAATTTCCTCATCTGTGAAACTGGGATAATAAAAGTACTTCCTTATTAGGGTTGTTGTAAAGGCAACAAAGAAACAATGCATATAAGGGACTTAATTTATCATTTTAAATGGTAATTCAGTAATATGTATTATTACTGATATATATTCCTGAATTATTACATAAATGTGTATATATATTCATGTATGTATAGTTACGTCAGAATATGTACTCTGAGTCCTGTAGCTGGGTATCATTTTTTTAAGAATCTCCCATGTTATTTAGAAGAGAGCAAGTTATGTTGTAGATGCTCAATAAATGTTTCCATACTGAGTGGTCCTATTTACCTCCCCTGCAGGTGAATGTCCAGTATTAGTTGATAGACTTAGCAGTGGATCAACAAATTTGGCTACACAATAGAATCATCTGGAAAACTGAAAACACCGGTGCCCAGACTCCATAACCTGAAGAAGCAGGTTCACTTTGATCAGAGGTTGATTTGGGTACTGATATTGTTTAAAAACCTCCTTGGTGTTTCAAATTTGCAGTGCATGATGGGCAATCACTGCTTCAGACGTGTAGTCTCGTGAGTAGCCGCATCCTGGGAATTTGCTATAAATGCAAATGATCAGACCCCACACCAGACCTGCTGAATCGGAATGCTGGTAGTGAGCTCTGCCATCTGCTGTAGCAAGCCCTGTGCGTGATTCTGATGTAGGCTGACCCTGTGAGAATTTTTCATGAGCATTCTTAGTCTTCTTTGATAATCTCTGAGTAGAATGCAACAACTCTGCTCTGTACATATCTCAGCAAAGATGTGTCTTGTCAAATGAGAGCTGTCCCTGTTAGCAGGAAGTAGGTTGTTGGGGAGCCAATATATCACTTTAGTGCACTTCAGTTTCCATGTCTGGATCAATCCAGAGGGAAGAGCTTCTTGTGGGCCTTGCTCATCATGCTCCTTAAGGACTTCTTTATTTAAAGTTAGGCTGTCCAGAAACCCTTTGTTGTTGTTGAATGTACGGTGGGGTAATAGGTAGAATGTCCAAATAGAACTTACTCTTGGGCTTCAGTAGAAATGAAACCGTTTGCTGAGGCTGGCTTATTCACCCCTGGGCCTCATCTTGGTAATCTGCTGATGAGGCAGGCTGACTAAAATCCAGCTGAATGAAATTCAGCTCAGCTGAGGCCAGTATAAAGGCCACGGACAAGGGGTGCTGCCTGGGTCAGAACGAAGATGCTTAGTGGTTAGGGAGAGTGAGGCAGCGTCCATGCTCCTGGATTCTGGACGGAGACTGCAGAGGGAAAAGTTGGGACTTTGGGTGGAAGTGTAACAAAGTGCCTGGGAATTCCTGAAGCCTGGCAGGTCATCTCTGCCCAGCCTCGTCCACTCCACTCAGGTAAAGACAGAAGCCCTTTCTCAGGGGTGGGGGGAGAGTCAGTATGCTGTATTGTTTTTGAGGAGAGGGAAAGCTGATGGATGAGAAGTTCTGATTCTCTAGGAATGCTGGTTGTCTGCTCCTTTTCTCCCATGCTGGACTCTTTCACTCTCCTCCTCCCCCAACCCCAGAGTCACTGCACATGTCTCCCTTTACAATTGTCTTCCTAGGCAGTGAAGGAAGAGAGTGGTTCATGGGGGCTGTTAACAGTGTGGCTAGTTTCCCAAGGAAGTGGTGGCTGCGCTGGGGCTTTGGGCACCATTAGCCAGGGAAAGGGATTGAGGCTCAGGAATGGAGGAGACAAAAAATAGCATGGTGTTGTCTAGCACACTGAGGGGTTTGTCCTGACAGAAAGGGATCTTACTGGGAAAGAGAAGGCAGATAATACGCTTGTAAAGGCCTAGGGCAGTGAACGGAAGGCCTTGCGTGGCAGGCTCAGAGGTTTACTCCTTATCTCATATGCAGTAAGGGGTTGGCGCATGCTTTTGAACTGATAAGAGACTGACACCATTCAACCCAACAACAGATAGAGATGGAATTGCTACTGTTTACCAGAACTTGTTGGAAAGATGGCATGATAGTTGGGAAACACTAATCTTACAGTAACGTTGGTGACGGAGTAGGCAGAGGTCGGGGCGCACCCCAGGGAGAGCAGAAGTGAGAGAATAATGAGATCTTGAAAAAATTGTCTAAGGGGAGGAAGTGTCTGTGTTAGATTATAATAGTGTCCTGAGAACAGGATGGAAATGAGGGACTTTTCAAAGGCAGAATTGTAGGCATTGAAGAAGAAGGGAGAGTTGAAGAGGATAGCAACATACCGAGTTCAGGTCACTGAAAAGTTAGGTGTGCCCCACGAGGCGTGGTGTTATGTAGCTGTGAGTCAGCTGACTTGACTAAACAGTAAATGGAAGCTTCGACATTGAGTTTATGCTCCTCTCTAACAGATTCAGCAATTTGGGGGCTAGCTCATATATATATATATATAATGTTTATTTTTTTACTTTAGCTGCCTTTATGAAAATATTGTTACATCTTTTTTTCCACGCTCAGAAGCCATCTTCCAGTTTTGAAAATATGTAGTGGGCTAATCCTACTGCTGGTTGTTTTGTCTTTAAGAATATGCACAAGGGCAACATAAATCCACATGTTTTTGTTGTGCTGTTTTCAATTCTGGTGGCTCTCCCTTAGTAACCATGAGAAGAGTTGATTCAGGTGTGCCCCCTATGTAATTATGGAAATCCTCTTATTTTTATATAGTAATTCACTTTAATACCTTACTTCATGTAAGTTTTAGCAAATATTTTAGAGTGAAGACTTCCAACAATTTTTCCTAAGTCGCTCTGATGAAGTCAGTCTTGGTGTGGAGTTTTTTAAATTTAGGAATTGATGGTTATTGCCCAGATGGGACCTTGCCTGGGGCTGGCGCACCTAACAAAGGTGCCTTTCTACAGAGAGCCGTTATTTCTGTTTCCCGCCAGCTATGCAGAAGTTACTAGACACGAGGGAGTCATGATAAAAGTATCTCACTTAATTGCTTTTGGGATGATGTAGCTTTTGAAGATTTATTATTTCCACCTTGTAATGGATAACCTACCCTATTTCTAATAAACTGGATAATGAAGTCTCTATATAAAAATAACTTGGTTGATACATTTAATTTTAAGAAAATTCTTTAAGTATTCATGATAGGATGGCTGGAGCTTGAAGTTCTCAATTTCTCCAGTGCATGCGAATTAGACTTAATGCATAGAATTTTTTCAGAGCCTAGTCTGTGAAAACTTTGGGAGTTGTAATTTATTCTGAGATAGATAAGAAGGATAAAGAGTGTAAAACATAAGCAAAGATGCAGAACAACAATACCCAACAGGATAAGAGCAAGCATTCGTTTCCTTTGCTGAGGTGCACAGCAGCCTGAGGTGGGCAGGGCGGGGTGGGGGAGACTCAGTTTGGAGCAGGGGATTGCTAACCTGGCAGAAGCTTCCTCCGGGCCATGGCAGCTGCCCGGTGGCTCTGGTATTCCACGAAGGCAAAGCCTCGGTTTTTGGTTTTATCAGCAGCACTTGGGTAGACAATGACGTCGACAACTCCTTCGGTTACCTTCTTCATCTCTGATAAGATTTCTTCCCTCTTTTTGGTTTTCGGAATTCCCCCCACAAACAATCGGCAGTTATCCACACTGGCACAAACCCCTAAGAGACGCCCATTTCTGCAAAAAGAGCAGAGCTTTGATTGGTGAGAATCCACGTGCCACAAAGGTTTAAAGCAGAAGTTGAAGTATCGTATGACTCTGTACCTGAAATGGCCTATGGCTGTGGGCTGTTTGGTCTTGATAGTGATTAAACTATTTTTGGAAAGCAGTGGTTGCTTTTGTAAAATTGGGAAATCTGTCAGCATTCGCTCTATATTTTTAAAGAAAAGAAAGGTATTTGAAGCTGAGTAGCATCAGCTGTCTTTAGAGTAGATATGGATTCGCCAGTTGTCAGTTCTCACCCCTCCCTAAAATATCCCCAATGCCGAGGCCTTTATTCCTGCCCCCAGTACAGGTGCCTGCCTGGCCCTGGAGGCATTTGAGTTGGCAACTCCTGGTGCTCCCCTTCTTTTTCATCCAAACTGGGAAGCTATTCAGACATAATTGCTATTAAAAATAGTCCCTTATGCTTGAACGGATTTTTACGCATTATCTTATTTGGCCCCTACAGGGCGCTGGCTGGTGGGTAGGTGTTATTTCCATTTTATATCTGACTGACTTGCTGGATTCTCAGTTCAGTTTCTGTGTCTTCCACTGAACGGTGTTGCTTAATAGCGAGTCGAAGTACACCTTCCTTGGCAGAGTGCAGTTTGATTAAACTTTTCTGGGAAACAGAAAAGTTTCCCAGAAACTTGGTACATTTGGCAAAATGTACCAAAAGTCTCAAGTGTGCATAACCTTTGACCAAATAATGCCCCTTATGAAAAGTGACCTTAGGAAACAGTATGAGCACCCAGTATTATGTATAAGGATATTCATTGTTATTTAAAAAGCCTGCCTCCAAATGGGAAATGAGCAAAATATCCCAGCGTACGGGGGCTAGTTTAATGTATCTCAATTGAAATGTTACTGACTTGGGGCCTTGTGTCCTCATTCTGTAGCAAAGTAGAATTGTCGCCCTCATTCTCACCTACCAAATGCCAGTAGCTACCCAGTAAGTTGTTGAAAAATGACTCCCCACTTTTCTAGATGTTTCCTATTGTGAACAATTTGCTGCTAGCTGAGAATCACTAGTTAACAAAAGACAGGCATTCGAGTATTCTACACTGTGTGCCACTCACTGAACACAGTGTTGTAGAAGCATATTTACTGGTTAAATAAAAGCAGTTCACAGTATGCTGCTGGGTTAAAAAAAAAGGCTACAAAATAAGTGTGTGAGGAGGCCATTTTGATGACAACTATAAAGAAAATCTAGAAAGAAAGAAAATAAAAGTTAACAGTGATTATCTTTGAGCAGTGGAGTTAGGGAGGAATGGCTTAACTTATTTGTAGTGTTGTTGCTTTCTGTGTGCGCATGCATGTGTGTTACAAATTAGGTTGTGTGAGTTTTGTAATGTCACAAAGTTATTAGAATTGGATAAAATTCCCTTTGTGGAAATACTCGTGTGTCATGATATAAAATGCACGTCCAGGTGAGTGGGAGACTGCTCGGTTTTTGGAACTTGTGGGCTTTGGGTACATGGCAGGGATGCTGAGCAGGGTGGGGCTGCTGTCCTGGTTGCCTTCTGTGCTTTCCAGAAGAACCAAGGACCATATTGGATCAGTGACAGGTCCATTTCCATCATGCTAGGAATGTGCTGGGTGGTTTTTTTTTTTGGAGGGGAAGGGAAAGGTTGATAAAGTAATCTTTCATTTGAGAAAAACTTTGCTTTTAATGCTCTCTTCCTAGATATTATTTATTGAGACATTATTATTTTTGATAGTTAATGAATGGTGGGGTGTCAGGTACCAGAAGGGGGAGCCCAGAGGCTCTATATCCTGTTTCTCAATCTGTGTGGTTAGGCACCTTTCCCAGAAGTGCTTGGAGAAGAAAAGCCATCTCTCAAAAGCAGAGGGCACAACGTTAATATCTCCAGAAGCCAGGCATTTAGATGATGCTCAGTGAATATTTTATGAGGAGGAGGATGCTCCGACATTGTGGATCTTTTCTGGATAAGAACCTGGTCTATAACCTGGTAAAAGCAAATCAAAGGTTATTGTCTTCTCTACAATTAAAGTTCTCTCTCAGGCAGATCCCACTGGCTGAAGGCAGAGCAGAAGCAGGTGATGTTGGCTCTGGGGTGTCTATTCTGCTACTTCACATTCCATTTACCCTATTCCTTCACTTTGCAACTAATATCCAACCTGCACTTTGACTGCAGTTTTGCCACCGAATTCATCTAAAGGTTTTGTCATATTTCTCCTCTTCCTTCTCTTCTTCCTCCTTCATCACCATCACTATCAGCAAACATTTATAGAACATCAGATGTTGTCAGTTTTACATGCATTATCTCATAACATCCCCATGATGTAGGTAGATTTTTATTTCTGTGTAATAGCTAAAGACACTAACATTCAGAGAATGCTGTTCCTTATCTGTGGCCATAATGGACTGACCATGCAGTAGTCCCCCCTTATGTGTGGTTTTACTTTGCATGGTTTCAGTTACCCACAGTCAACCACAGTCTGAAAATATTAAATGGAAAATTCCAGAAAGCAGCAGTTAGCAAATTTTAGATTGTGTGCCCTTCTGAATAGTGATAAAAATCTCATGTTGTGTCTCTTCACTCTGCTGAATATGAACCGTCCCTTTGTCCGGTGTACCCACACTATATATATGACTTGCCTATAGGTCAATCAATAGTGGTCTGGGTCAGAAAAACTGTTTTGTTAGTTGTCTGCTTATGTTCAAGTAAACTGTGTTTTACTCAAAGCCACTCAGATAACTTTGATTATAGTGTATTGTTATAATTGTTCTATTTTATTGTTGTCATTATTACTTTCTTATTGGGCCTAATTTATAAATTCAGTTATGTATGTATAGGAAAAAATAGTGTGTATAGGGTTTAGTACTGTCTGTGATTTCAGGCATCTACTGGGGGCCTTGGAATGTATTCTCCACAAATGACCGGGGTGTCTATTGTATTTGTTATTTATACCCTGTCTATTGACAGACCCCAGTGGGTCACTGTGTGTGAAGTATGCCATATTACAGCATACCTTGCTGATTCCCTACGCAGCCAGTTCTATATCCACTCAACTTAAAAACCACTTTGGGAGTAACCTTTACTGTTAGGATGTCCAGGTTCCATGAAATCCAACAAATGGGGCATCTTCTAATCCCTGAAACCACATGACTGTAATGTTAAACTTCTGTAACCCTTTCCAAAACACGTTACTATCCAGCTGGTCCCTGACTTATGATGCTTCAGCTGACAATATTTTGACTTTATGATGGTAGACGGGCCATATTCATTCAGTAGAAACTGGCTGGGCTAAACTGTGTCATTCAGTAGATTAAATGCTTTTTTGACAAGTTATGATGGGTTTATTGGGACATCGTAATTGAAGAGCATCTGAGTTTCATATGACGGATGCTCAGAAAACTTAGGTTCTGATGTAAAACTGATGCTGCATGAGGTCAAAGGGTGTGTCCGCGGGAGCATGCACTGGTGCAGAGTCCCCGATTCCTAGTCCAAAGCCGCTTCCACACACCGGGCAGCCCTTTCGGATGCATGCAGGCATGTGCTGGAGGAGAGCCTCCTTTATGTTTTCTCTACGACTCTGTTCCAGAATCCAACCTTGGGGATGAATGGTGAGGCTATTAGTCATTGTCATATCCAATTAATCTTTTGGTGGTCAAGGGGTTCAAGAAAAATGACCCAATAGCTGACTGAATTACAGAGTTATAAGGATAATACATGACTTTTTTTGGTCTCTAGAAGGTGACAGAAAAATAATGATGGGGGATTCTTTCTCTCTGTATTCATTAGTTTTAAGATTCCATCAATATTAAGGTACCTATTTATTTCAGAAAGGAAAATACATGTGAAAAACTATATGTTAGGATTGATGATATATACTAATATATAATACTACCATTGATAATTTATTGACCTGTTACTGTGTTTCAAACACCACACTAAATGTTTAAAAAAATCTTTATGGCATCCCTACAATAAAACTTATGAAATAAGTATTATCTCTACTTTATAGGTGAGGAACTTGAGGCTCAGAGAGGTTAAGTTACTTGTTGGCGCTCCAGCGAAGCCTGTCTGGGGCCGGAGCTACGGCCTTTCAGCTGCTGTACAAAGCTTTCTTCCAGCCAGCTCAGGGCTTCCTTTGACGCAGTGTTTATGTCAGTGCCCTCTGCTAGTGAGGGACTTAGAACATGACAGTTCATGAAGTAGCCCTATGACCAGTTTATGAAAACCAGTTGTTGATTGCACGGGGTGAGTTATGTCCTGGAACTCTCCCCAGTCCCATGGTCTGAAGTGTCTCTCTGTTTTTCTGACCTCCACATTTGTATTCCCACCTGGACCTCTCATCTGACTCTGATATCATGCGATCACCTCTTCACCATCTTCCCCCAGGATGTGTAATGTGCATCTCAAATGTCAACGCCCCAAACAGAGCACTTCCTGTTTCCTGCTGTTCTCTAGTTTCTTCCATTTCAATGACACTGTCACACCCACAGATACTTGGACCAACATCCTGGGTCTCCTCCCTGAATCCTAAATCACTCACACTCCTAACCCAATATTTACCCAGTCCGATCTATTCAAACTCCCAGAGGTAACCCAGACCTGACTCTTGTCACCACCTTTGTTACTAACCACCCCAACCCCACCCTCCTGCAACCACCGCATGTCTTGTTGAGATCAATATCACTGTGGCGGCCCTCTCACTGGCTTCCCTCTTCATTTTTAAAACAGCCAGAGTAATGCTTTAAAAAGCATAAAGCTCATTAAAACCCTTCTGTGAGTTCCTTGTTTCATTAGAACGGAATCCAAGTTCTTAAACATGGAGTAGAAGGCTGCCCCACTGCATCGATGTCAGCCCTCCTTTCTTCCCTCGGTTCCACCGTGTTGGCTTTCCGGCTGTCTCTCTAACACGCCAGCCTCGGTCCTGGTTCGGAATCGCTGCACTTGCTCTTCCTTCTCTAGACTCACCTTTCTCCAGGTAGGACTGTCGTGGCTGTTTTTTTCTTCAAGTCTCAGGTGAAATTGTGTTTTCACAACTTTTCTTGTGGCAGGAGGTAGCCCTAATCCCATTTCCTGGTATTATTTTTTCATACTCTCATAAATAATCTTATACATCTACTTTCTCACTTTGGGGATAGGGAACTATATACTCTGATATATTTCTGATATTTTAAGCTATGCCCAGCACATATTTATGAAATGAATAAATTATAAATTTTGTTTTTCTTTTTAAGATTTTTAATTTAGTTACCTTTAGAGGGAAAGAGAAAGAGAAAGGGAGATAAATATCAATGTATGGTTGCCTCTCCTGCATCCCCTACTGGGAACTGGCCTGTAACCCAGGCATGTGCCCTGACTGGGAATCGAACCATGATCCTTTGGTTCGCAGGCCTGCGCTCAATCCACTGAGCTACACCAGCCAGGGCAATTTTTGTTTCTTTAAACATTTCACAGAACTTAGTTTGGCACCTAATACAGTGTTGATATTAAATATGTCATTAAACTCATTTTTCCCAAGGAAAAGAGCTAACCATTTTTATTTCTGGTTTTGCTATCTTTGCATATACTATATTAGATAAACTTGATAGAAGAACAGATACAGGTGTGTTGTCTGATTCACTTTTTGTCTAGAAAAGGTGGATCTTACCTGATTTCATAATTATTAAGTTGCTTGATTGCATTCTTGGCTTCCTGTTTATTTGAGAATGTTACAAAAGCATACCCTCTATTGTTGCCATTGAAATCCATCATCATCCTCATTTCATAAATTTTACCAATCTGTAAGTGATAGAAAAGAGAAGTTCGCATTTCTGCATTTGTACTTCCTAATGAACACACACACATGCACACACAGTTTTCTGGAGTCTGTCACTGCCATATTTGACATTTGCATCCCTGCTGAAATGGTTTGCGTATTTTCATGCTGGGTTCAGGACCATTTTCTGACTTATGGGCAAAGTCAAGTTAAAAAAATTTTGTATAGATGGCATTTCAGCCTAAGTTAACAGAATATGTTTTTGACATAGCAAGGCAAATGACCTTTCACCACGAAATTGTCTGAGGATTCACGCAATGTCCTAGCGACCTGAAAACACATTTGTCATTAGGAGTACAATTTCTTGATTTGTCCTTTTCCTTTCCACAGGCCTCTGAAGTAGCCTTAGTTTTATCTTTACTTGGTAATACTCTAGTATTGAAGGAAAAAGAGGAACACTGATTTGGAACCTTGCTAAATGTTTTTAGCTGTCTTTTCCCCACCACGCCATCAAAGGGAATACAGAGGCCGTGTTTCAGAGGATGGTCTGGAGAGCCCTGTTATTCTCACAATCTGTAGGCTGAAGGTGAGTGCTGGTCTTAATACAGTGGACCCAGGGCCAGCATCTTCACCATAGAAAGGTACTAATCACTAACCTCTACCTATAGCTACTCTGTTTACTTATATACTACTCCCTCCTGGTACTCCAAATGCTCCCCAGAGATACAGACTCAGCAATTCATTATTGCTGGCTGCTAAAACAAGGGTGACCCAAATAGACATGAGGAGCATATGCGGTAAGAAGAGGCATCAGTAGGCCTACGCTATTACTACACTGGTTGGTTACCCTTCATCTCATCTCATCCCACCCCAGCTCACCCAAAGGTATTCAGTGAGGGACACCAAATGTTTTCTGGGCTCATTAGGAAAGAGTTCAAGCACATTGCAGCTCTGTGTTTCAGGTGGCTCTTGGTGCTCATTTTCAGGTTCACTATAAGGTTCTTACAGGATTAAGTCCTCATAAATTGCCCACATGCCAAGTGGGATTGTGTGTATAAAATTAGGGGCAGTTCCCAAGTTGAATCACACATGTGCACACACACATGCACACACACACATGCACAAATGATTTTGGCATTTAGAAAAATAGCTAAACTCCTGTTTTTGCTAAACTTTTGAAGAATGTGACTTTTGAAATACCACTTGGGAAATTATTGAAAACAACAGTTAATTTTGTATTATAACTTTAATTTTCAGGTTTAATAACAAAATATCATTAGGAATTAAAACTGAGGAAGTTTATAACTTAATAATTATATAACGACTCAAAGAACCTTCATAATTATCTAATTTTGTGGGTACATTAAGGCAGACAAGAAATTTGAACTTGGAGAAAAACATTTCATCCTGGATGAATATGGATAGACACATGTTTGAGCTATGACACACAGACCCCTTCTCTTTAGGTAAAAATGCTGCATGCACATCAAAATGTCAGGTTGGAGCAATATCTCCTTCCAGACAGGCTGTTGTCATGTTACTGTGTGCTGATAGACACATTCCGTTTGTGGCGAGAGGGTGTGCCAGTGGAGATGGGGACTGAGATATAGACTCGAAAGTCATCAGCAATGACGTCAGGGAACAGGTGAATGAGTGGAGGCCATCACTAACAGGTGGGAAGGTTTTCATCACTAAAGGAATAGCAAACCATCAGTGACCGGGGGAAAAATAAGCAGGAAAGCAAAGTGAAGAGAGTACTACTTTTCCCTTGACAGATAAGAAAATTTAAACTCAGACTCACCTTTTCACATAATGGTATAAGTTCATCCTCAAAAAGGTCTCGGGGAAGTTTTCCAATAAAAATTTCACAGCCCCTTTCTGGGGGTGCAGCATCCCAGCCAGGTGGGGGGCCACCATATTTTCTTTGTCCATTTTCCTGCAAACCCAGGGTAGGTTGTATGAGGGAGAGAAGAAAACAAGAGATCTTTAGCAACAAGTTTCTCAGTTATTGTTCAGAATTATTTCGCAGTCAGAAACACATTTATCATTGGCAAGTAACAGTTGACTGGTCAGAGGGTGAAACACAAAAGTCTCTTTTGTGTGGATTTTAATACCGTGTTCTATGCTTCAGTGACTTGCTTGAGATGAGCATGAGAAAAGTTATAAAGTACTGAAAAACATAAGGGATTATTATTTTTTTTCTGTTGTTACTCAAAATCACTGGAGCCTGATCACCCAAGGATCCGACTATAATTTGGACCTGCTCTGAAGGCTGCGTGGTGTGTTGGGGAGTGTTCTGGAGCTGGCTTCTTGGCTCTGTGACTCTCAGGCTGTGGGTCCTTGGACAGATGACTTCTCAGAAGCTGTTTTCTCACATGCAAAGTGAGGATAATATCAGCTTTTGATTAAAGGAGATAATGCTTCAGATATGCATAGCATAGGTCTTGGCATGTGATATGTACTTATTGGTTATTCTCTTCTTGCCTCTCTGAATTTATGTGGTTTCATATGCCAAGCAAGGCAATGCACGACCCTAAATAGAAGCAATGTGAGGATTACCATCGGAAGGAGTGGCTGGTTAACTTGGGGGTAGGTAGTGAGGAACTTCGACCTATTTTCAAGGCTGACAAAATGGTGAGAGGTGTTTACTAGTATTAGATGTCTTGGTAGGTAATAATGCTGTTCTATCCAAAGAAAATTAGCTTCTATTTTTTCCTTTGTCCTAACAAATGTTTGGTTAATTTAATGTCATTATTTGAGAAGGAATAGTAGGTAGGGGTGCTTCTCTGTGATGCTAACTATATTTTTATGGATGTTAAAGATCTTAAAGTTAACTCAGGGGTCCCAGAATGAAATGCAGGCCCAATCTACCACTGTTGATCTTCTGTGGAAATGTGAGTCTACTTTGCACTTAGGCATCACCCCTGTACTTTCGTGATTTTTAAAGAAAGGAAACTATAAAGGACCAAATATCAGTAAGCACTGCTAATTTCTACAATTAACACTTTAAGAAGTTTTATACTGTAAAATGATACATGCTGGAAAAAAACATAGTAATAATGTATGAAGTAAAAAGAAAAATCCCCCAATATATCAACCTGCCCATCTATAGAAGTAGTTACTATTAAAAATTTCACTACCTTTTCAAATACTTTTTATGTGTATTTTAAAAAGACATGTTAGTTCTTTGAAACATTGTTCATATAATAGTTGTTGGTTGAAATAAAAGTAAAGCAGCTTCTAGCTGCATTGATAAATCTTACATGTACCAACTTGAGTCCTTCTCAATTATTCTATATGTTAGCACAAAGGCTTTTGGGACCACAGTATTTAAATGATATCTGCAGTTGCGATCACTTTTTAATCCTAATGATGGATATTATGTGCTTTAAATTTTAAAAAAAGTCAGATGAGTCTTCTGCCTTGCCTTGATTACTTTTTGCTAACTGACAGCATGTTTTTCACTTTACTAAATATTTAAATATTTGCATCAAATTTTTTTTGTTTTTTTTCCTCCCCCTATATTCTTGCAGGATTATATAGTAGCAAGGATTTATCATCACTGAGAAATCCAAGAAATAAACCCTTTCATATTTTTATTTGAAAAAGTTAAGAACCCAGTGAGTTATATCTCAACTAAGAATTTCCTGACAAGTATAAGTTATATACTCTTGGAGACACGTTAAAGACTTTATTTACTTACCTGCTAACAATTGCCTACACAGCCCCTACTACCACACCCTGTCTAATCCTCAAACATCAACGTGAGTTATAGACCGCTACCATCCCAATTTACAAATGGCAGAAGCCCAGAGAGATTTCAATGTAAAATTTGCTGAGTCGCCTGGTTGGGAACTGAAGTCAGGCAGTCTGGAGTCAGAGTCCCTCAGCTACATTTTGTTGCCTTGTTATATAGAAGCCTAATCACTTGTAACAGATCTACACATTTAAATACTTATCTAGGTAAAGAAGTTTATCATGCCATTATATTGCAAACTCTCTGTTGCATTAAATCCTTTTTTCAATTTCCAATCATTTTTATTACACAGTTTTTTGGGGAGGAGGAGAACATCTCATATCCGTTGCTTATAAACAGCCTCATTTCCGTGGCCAAACTAGAGGCTGCCTCCGGGGCAACTGGAACCATGTGGTTGATGGTGATCCCTCTGAGGCCATTTGTGTCTGTTTTAAATATCTAGACACATACTATTCGATGAATTATTGGGGAAAAAAGTTTAGAGCGAATTTGGTAGTATTTTTATCCTTCAGGTTGAAGAAAGCAAATTTTCATCCCATAAAAGTGGCTATTCCAGGATTTCTGATTTGACGAGCTTTGGCTGATAATTTGATAATAGGCAATGAGCATACTGATGCTTTGAAATTTTTTCTTCGACTTTTTCTTGCTGCAATTGTTAAAAATGTCACCCAAGTATTTTGTGCAAGTCATTCATGTGTATAGGAGGATTCTGCTTCTGAGCCAAAATGATTGGTCAGGAAATCGTATCCATGGTCTTTTTGTGGTTTCTATAAACTCTTAAAATAAATTCCCCAAGAATATCTTCTGGGATCACAAAAGGTCTGACTGGTGCAGAGATGCCGTGGAGTTCACCCAGTGGGGGGACTGGCTTTGAGAACCCCCCACCAGGCCTGGAATGCACTGGTGGTGGACAATAAGTTTTAAACAGGCACTGGGCATTAGTCATGGGGTCAGAATAGCTGTCCATTACTGGGAAAGGACAGTTGGGAGCTAGATTGTTGGTATTTTAGGCACAATTTTTATAGTTGCATTTTAAATAAAGCCCAGTTATAACTGCTCTTTCCCCTCCTGGCTGAGGTCCTCCTCATGGAATGCACTCCCCCCAGGAGCACAAATATAGTAATAGTTCTGAGAGAAAGAATATAGGGCTTTTTTCCATGAGAGAATGTTCATTCAACTCTGGGAATTTTTAGTTTCCCAATCACAGACTTGGAAACCATTCACTCTCTCTTCAGTCACATGTGAAGAGGTGAAAAATTTTCAACTATACAATTTAAAAATTGAAGATCTAATTTTTACATCTTCAATTAACTGAAGATAAATCCAGTAGCTGTACCTTAAATATTGGATTCCAAGCCTATTTTTACATGTGAAGAAGAGTGTTTGGAAGTTCCTTCTGTCACAGATATTTCAAACCTTTCATGATAGAAACATAGTGTCTTTAAGGGATTGTGTATACCATCTTCTTGACCTTGAATAAAACCATACAACCTTTAACAAATGATTCTCAGCAATACATCTTAGCATGAAAATTGAACATACTGAGTTCATTTTGGCCACCTGGCATCTGAACCTTTTATACATCTGGGGAATCTGGGCAAAATCTCCTTCTCCTACAGGATTTTAAAAGGCCCAATACCTGCTTTTCCAGCTTCCCTTTCTCTGGGGCAATAAACATTATAATAAAGAAAAACCGAGCTCTGGTACAGAATTGTAATGGTGCAGACTTGAGATGTGAGCATTCTGTGATGGTGGATGCATTTTCATATCAGTCCAGATTTGTGATAGTTTTTGGGTTCATTCCTAGAAGCCTGCCCTTGAGTCTGGTCCTCCTCCAAATCAAAAGTTTCTGTGAACCAATATTCTTTCAATAAACTCCTTTTCTATTTCATCAACAGAAATTAGTTTCTACTACATACACACACTAGTAACAGCAGTAGCAGCAGCAGCAGCAGCAAAAAAAAAAATATATCCCCAAATGGCTACCCCTGATTAAGTTGGGCACTATGCTAAGTGCTTTGCATGTATTAACACATTTAATTTTATCAATAAAACTATGTGGATGATACTACTTACTTTCAATTTATACATAAGGACTCCAAGGTACAGAGTGTGTCCAGATTCACGCAATCAGTAAATGACAAGGATAGTCTTTTGAATCCTGAGCTTATGCTTGTAGTCATGATATTATTTTTCCTTGTTATTGGGTTGTCCAAAAAATTTGTTGTTTTTCCCTATGATTGCTGTAGTAGTGCTTAGTTGTCTTTGACTTCATTTGAAACCATTTTGTTAGATTGTATTGTGAGAGCTGACATATCAGCATGCTTTTAAATAAAACATCAAAATTGGTGAATTTTTGTGTATCCACTTTATATTGAAGATCGAAAAAATATGCAATATCATCAGTGTATCATGCTTTATTATTTCAAGAAAGGTAAAAATGAAACTGAAATAGAATAAAAGATTTGTGCAGTATATGGAGAAAGTGTGGTGACTGATGGAACATGTCAAAAGTGGTTTGTAAAGTTTCTTGGTCCTACTGACATTTTGGCCAAATAATTCTTTGCTGCGGGGCTGTCTTATGCACTGGAAGATGTTCAGCAGCACCCCTGACCTCTACCCACTAGAAGCCAATAGTGGGAGACAGCTGACATGCTCAAAATATCCAAACCAATAAAGTTATTGGTGAAAATGAAAAATGTGTCTTTTAGTTTATGGAAAAAACATACTGGACTTTTTGGCCAACCCAATATGCTCATTATACAGCTGGGAAAACTGAGTTCAGAGAAGTCATGTGAGTTGTCTGAAGTCACACTGGTTTAATTTATTGCAGACAACACTAGAACAAAGGTCCTGTGATTCTTGATCTGGTAAACTGCATGCCATGTATACTGTTCAAAAGTTATGATGACTTTTCATGCTTACCAGCCTTGTAATTCTGCATGTTATGTGTTACATCTACTTTCTTGCTCGACTTCACCAAGCATGGAGACCAGATGGTTTGTTGTCTCCCATAAATGAGCCCATTCGTAAACTGAAAGGACATTTTGTCTGTTTTTTATTTCATAATTAGTAATTTCAATCCCTTTATTGGCTCTTTGGAAATTTTGCATTCTAAATCTGTAATCATCTTTGTGGTTCTCTTTGGTTCTTTCTTGCCAAGAGGAAAGAACTTGTGT